TCTGCCTCTCCATCTCCAACTGTTTCTTTTGGTCTTCGATCTGCTTCTGTCTCTCCAATTCCACCTGACTCTGCCTCTCGTCCTCAATCTGCTTGATCCTCTCCATTGCCTGCCTCTCCATCTCGTCCTCCTTGTCTTTCTTAAGGCGCGCAGCATCCATTGCTCGTGAAATTGCTTTCTCTTTGTATCTTTTTACGAGCTGCTGCCTCCTTTCCACCTTCTTCTTCTCCTCCGACTCAAGTTGAGCCGATGGTATTGCGTTTTGGGATGTCGAAGTAGAGTCAACTATATCGTATCAGACGTGAGCGTATTGATAGTTTGTCGTGGTGGCTTTGCGTTAATTTGATCTCTGCCGATCGCCTTGAACCATATCGCTCGTGCATGCGCAGGTTCAGATATACCCAGGGCATCACCGAAGACACTATGTTCAATCGTATTTAACGAAAAAAGTCCGCAAGAGCACGAGTCTGCTTGAGTTCCGTGTGGCAATGTATTTCCTTGATTTTCGAATGGGCCATCGAAACGGAGGGAAAGCCAGTGCTGTAACTTGGGAATAAAAGGTCGAAGTGCGTTTGGGAGACTAAGAGAGTCGCCTGCCTTCAGGTAGGTTTTTATCTAGCAAATGAGGGGAATGGCCTACCGTAGCAAAATATTTTCCGTCCAAAGTCGATGCGGAATGAAACAAAGTGGTGCACTTCTGGAATACACACTGGGAAATATAGAACCTTTCCTTTCGATAGCGTCTCTTCTAAGTTTTTGAAACTGCGGGGCAAGGAATTGACGTTGGGTTCTGAAAGGCGGATCGCATCGGCGAACTCAGTGTCTGTTATGACGATGTTGGAATGCGCTTCGACTAATCGGCGGGTGGTATACTGGATCATCATATCCACGAGAGTATCTGAGAGCCACGCGTTATCGGACAGAAAGCGTGCAAGTTGTGTGGTGTTCCTTAGGCCGCTTGAAGACAGCCCGACAAGCTGCTTGCGGTAAGGTAGACGAAGCATAACTTGACGTGCCGTGGTAAAAGGATTAGAAGGCGAAAAACTCCCAATGAAGCTCTCTTCGTTCTTTTTCTTCAACCAGGTATCTGCAACTACCCACGTCATCTTAGCCTCGCGAACTTCATGTAGTCTTTGCCAGAGGTTCAACATCCACAGGGGCAACGGTTTGTTTTTGAGTTGAGGATCGAGGATCGACCGCTTTCCATCCTGAATCGCGCTTTCAAGAGATGCGTAGAGGCTATATACCCACTGCTTTGGAGGTATACCTCTGGTGAGGTCTAGATCCTCGATTGGACGTGCTCTGTCAAAGCACGACGTTCCACTCTCTGTGAAGGACCCAGCCTCGATATCGGGCACGTTGAAGTCCAAGATTTCGCCTACAGTGGCGTCGGAGGAGGAGGGTAGAAGCATGGAGTGTACCTGCTCTGGTATTTTCATTACCTCCGACATAAGCTCTAAATCTTGCGGATCCAATTGTTCGCCTGCATCGAACCAAGTTCCAACCGGTACATGAGTAGTAACGGCCGGAGGAACGGTGGGCGCTGCGGAGAAAGGCGTGTCTTTATCCTCATCTAACTCAAACAAATCGTCCTCGTCGGTACCATCGTAGTCGGAGTAGTCGTGGTAGAGTTCGATGTCGCCCGTTCGTGGATGAAAGGTCTGCGACGAACGAGCATCGTCCTTCAGCCGATTGATCTCCTTGTAATTGTTTGTAATCTCTTGGCGCGGTTGAGATTTGCCTTGAGTCACAAATATTCTCTTGCGAGCTTTTTGGCCTTTGAATTGAGGCTCTTGGCCGTCTGGCCAGAACTGGCCTGGCTTCCCGCAATAGCTGACGACTGACGCGAAGGAATCAGACAAAAATCGATAGACATTCAGTATACGTACTTTTAGGATTTCGTTTAGGTTGTGTAGGCATTGTTTCTGCCTGTTCCCATGGATTCTCTGCCCAAGCCAATGGTGCGTCGGACGTCGATGCCGTGTCATTCGCTAAAGAACGTAGATGAGCTGTTGAAAACGATAGTTCGTGATTTGGCTCACGAGTATTCGACTCAACAGGGCGTTTCCTGCTCACAGACATGACTCCAGTCCGCATGGGACCTCTGGGTTTAGCGGCCTGCGGTTTCTCCGAGACAGTAGAGTGGATACGAGGCATATGAGATCGCAGAGAGTATGAGAAGCACTAAGTGTTTTGATAGTAGAGTAGATTTGGTAGCTGAGGGAATGTTTAACGTCTCACTGGAATTTCCAATGAGAGGTTCAGGTGTGATGGAAGTTGTTGACGAGGAACAAGTAAGCTGGTGAATTTAAGCTTATCTAAATGTGGCAGTGGTTATTGCACATGTGGCAGTGTTATTGACTGCCAAATACGTAGCACATTAGTCATCAACTCTAATGAGCTACTTAACAATGCGGGTCCATTAAACGCACATCGGGATTCTGATATTGTCGTAGATTTTGCTCTTAACTTAAAGTTCAAGCCACCCAAGGCATTCAAGTGTGGTTTAAATGTTGTACTAAATATTGCAAACCCCGATGTGATGATCCCCAAATATAATTGTTTTGATTACTTCTGTACTACATATACTTATGTTTCAGTGAGTTGTACAGTGACGAAAGAAGTGTTGAGTGAGTAAGCGAGGCAAATTTGCAATAGAGAAAGGTCCGACAACAAGCGACGGGTAATCCACGAGGATTCAGAATGTACAATCTGACGTCGCAGAAGTCGTCAAAGTCGTCAAAGTCATTAGAATCTCCAAAGTCTTCACAGTCGTCGAAGTCGTCAGAGTCCCCTAAGTCACCGGGGTCTTTGAAGTCGCAGAAGTCTTCAAAGTCTTCAAAGTCGTCAAAGTCGTCAAAGTCTTCAAAGTCTTCAAAGTCTTCAAAGTCTTCAAAGTCTTCAAAGTCTTCAAAGTCTTCAAAGTCGTCAAAGTCGTCAAAGTCTTCAAAGTCGTCAAAGTCGTCAAAGTCGTCAAAGTCGTCAAAGTCGTCAAAGTCTTCAAAGTCGTCAAAGTCGTCAAAGTCGTCAAAGTCGTCAAAGTCGTCAAAGTCGTCAAAGTCGTCAAAGTCGTCAAAGTCTTCAAAGTCGTCAAAGTCGTCAAAGTCGTTAGAATCTCCAAATTCGTAGAATCTCCAAATTCGTAGAAGTCGTCAAAGTCGCATGTGTCCCACAAGTCATCATAGTCGCACAAGTAGTCAAATTTCTCGGCAAGTGCTCAAGACTTCTTGCTGTAGTAAGTCGCTCGCAAGTATCAGTAAGTAGCCCGGCGTGTTGTTTCGTCCGCACCTAACTTCAAATTTACTATGGGTGAATCAAAAAAAATGAACTATTATGATATGGCGTTACAAAGGTGCGATTTCAAGGCGCTGCCTGCAATATGAAGGGAGTGTCCGAACTATAGATATTGTACAGTTCCGTGATTTCTATCAGTACAGCATGTAAAATTCAAGGCGGTGCCTGCGCTATGAAGAGAGTATCCAAACTATAAATATCCTACAGTTCCGCAATTTCTATCAGTACAGCATGTAAAATGTAACAAAATGATGTAATACTAGTGTGTAATAACAACACTACAGGGTGGTGAAGCGTTCTAGACAATTCAACAGTTCTTCTCTACTGACGAGTTCGCCCGGATGCATCTGGCTACTACTTCCATCCGTCTGCTTCTTGCGATACACAGATGTCGCGTTCTTTAAATCCTTCCAAAAATGTTTAACGATTGCATTTGCAATCTCATTCGCTCGTTTCGTCGTGCTCGTCTTGAGCTTTGGCCTTTCGGTGCCAGCGGCCACATATTTGTTGGTATCTAAGACCATAATACAAAGAGCCATTAAAGGCCTGCTGTACAGCTCTAAAGGTCGATGTTACACGTGTTCAATGTAGTGAAAACGGAAATGAACTCACTAACGCGACGCGAGATGCGCGGTAAGTTGACAACCATACGTTGGAAGGTTTCCAGAGAGTGTTCATGGACCTGGTTTGTCAAGGTCCTTCCTTGCTTATGGTCGACGTAACGGGAAAGTTCCGTTAGATGCATGGTTTCGTAATTATAAAAGTGCCCTCCTGTGGCGAAGGAGGCTACCGGTGTATACACCGCGTGAAACTGTCCCGGTGGTTGTATTCTGCAATTGTAAGCATGGATAGATACATAAGGACCAAATACTCACAGCATATCACCGGGCAAGAGAGTGACGATCTCTCCGTGCCAACTTTCTTCGATATTTTTGCGGCTTCGATAGAGATCCGTCAACTCTGGTGCTATCTCAGAGAGTTTAGTACGAGAAATTTCATCTTCGTTACGGTGTCTCCATAAGCCCCATTTTTTTTCGCCCGTTTCGACTTGCACAAAAGTAAGACTTCCGTCAGAGTCATGGTGCGGATGTGTCCAGTACGCAGGGCCATGGATCAATGCCCACGAATGGACGGTAAAATTGTCCGGATGGACTTTTTCACCAATGGGGCAGTCAACAGTGGTTTGATTCCATCCGTTGATAATGCCGCTATCGAGAGTGCTAAGCATAGACGGTTTAGTGGTATGTTAATGTAAATATATGTGGTACTAACCTTAGTTCTAACGGGAGACCTCCCTGTCCAAATGCAACGTCAAGAATGCATTGAATCTTGTTTGGGTCGTGTATGTTGTTCACGAACTCTTCGAGAGTCGCGTGCTGATGCGGATATGTAAAATCTTTGGTGCGTTGTTCAGCGTCTATTGTAACTACATTAGATAGTGTAATGCAGATGCGAATTAAAAACAGACTCACCATGTACGACTACACGCATCAAGTCTGACATGCCACGATCTTCTAGGTAATCTAGATCGAGAGTTGCAGGCTCGGGTCTACTTATATTTCGAATAACAACAGCCTTGTTTACCCGAATCGCCGCAGAGATTTCGTCGCACAGTTGCCGGCTTTTGGTGCGCCAGTCGCTGTACTTTAAGTGTACGACGTTTTTTGACGTCTCAGGAAGCGATTCCGGAAGGGTTGCAAAGTAAGACACCGTCGTAGCATCTTCCTGGCACACGTTTACGCCATCCCTGACTATGCACGGTAGCACGGTAATAGATCCATCAGACCATGTGATGGTTTCTGATTTCTCGTGCACCTGCGAGCCTATAATCGGAGTTGCGAGGTCACGAGAGTCGAGGTTTGTGGGAACGGATGGGTTGGGTGAGGAAGGTTGTTGTGAACTTTCGGGGGATGACGACGTAGGATTAATGTGTTCGGGGATGACGGTCATAACCTCTACATCGCGCATGAGGGGAGGTGGTTTTAGACTTTTGCGGGATGACGATGTAGGGTTAATGGGTTCGGGCACGACCGTCATCACCTCCGCATCGAGCATGATACGGGGAGTCGGCCTAGTCGCGACGTTTTCCTCATTAAGGAGGACGGGGTCGATTGGAATATCGACAGGCGCTGAATCTGAGCGCTCCGCCACAGGATTTGTCTCATGTGACGAGACACGCTGCCTCTTTCGAGGACCTTGGTCTTGAACTTCCGCGTCACCGGTCTGCTCGGCCTTCTCCTTCTCCTCCTTCTTCCGTTTACGCCATGCACGCTTGTTAGCTGTGTTCTTCTCCCTTATTTCTTGCGCCCTGATAGGATCGCGCTTCTCGTTCGCCAACCATCTTCTTTGGCGTTCGCGCTGCTTCTCCTCTACAGTCATCTCGGCGTCGGCAAGATCTTCGTGATGAAGCCTCCGCTTCTTGTCTCCCTGGTCGTGCTGTGGCATTATATTAACAAGGAATTTCCTCAGTTAAGATAATAACAAGCGTGTAATCTAAGATGTACGAGTATGATACTTGCAACGCGAGCAAGTAAAGGTAAGAGGAAAGAAGTGCGTGTAGAGTGGCAAACGAACGTCTTTAGAATCGGCCACACATTATGTAAGATTCCACACCAAATTCCTGTCATTGTACTACAGCTCTGAGTCGTAGTGGACTTTTTGTCGACATGCACGGTATTTTATATAGGAGTTTGATCCCATAAGGTAAGCGTAAACGAGGTAGCTGAAGCGATGAAGGCTTTTCCTGTCCTCAAAGTCTCCAAAGTGTCCTCAAAGTCATCACATGCTCAGAGTACCTTAAATTTGTAACAGTCTTTAAATTCGCAAAGTCCGGATATGTGATAAATTCTACAGTCATGGAAGTGATAACTGTCCTCATAGTCTTATATGTCCTTGAAATCCTTGAAGTGGCGAGACTGCCCTCGGAGTATTATATCTAATTCCAGTAGCGGAAGTTGCGAGACTGTACAGTACATAATTCATAAACACACTGCAACTTGTAATCTATTTAAGTCACGCAAGTCGTGAAACTGTCCGCAGAGTCTTAAATGTCCGTTCGTGGAAGTCATAATTGTCCTCAGAGTCTTGGACGACCTTGGAAGTCGTGAGATTGTCCTTAGTCATAGTCTTAGATGTCCTTGAAGTCACGGAAGTCGTGAAACTGTCCTCAGAGTCTTAGTTGTCCTTTTAAGTCGTGTCAGTCACATATCCTTAGACGTCGTTGAAGTAATAGAAGTTGTGAGATTGTCCATTGTCTATATCGACTATTCGGTTGTGTTAGTATTACAGTTGTTATAAAGATTAACATTGTCGTGCCCGAATGTGATGCAAGCCGCATCCCTCCAGCAGCATAATGCCTTGCTTCTTTCATCTGGACGGTTCCATTCCGACCACAGTCAATCGCCAGTTCAATGCCATCCTATCGTCTTATTCAAACACACGCACCAAATCAGTCACCGAAGATTTAGATCCACCTGTGTGCGTTCACCCAGTGCACTACATACATGCGAATGTATTCTACTTCAATATAGTCTTCACGACCCCCCCTGCAAATCTTTTAGTACTACAAGTAGATCGTCCATCCTCTCTTCCAAAAACGCAATCTTCTCTGATGCGATGGACGCTGCATCTCGCATTGCCAACAGTTCTTCTTCTTTCTCCTCTAGCAGCGCTTGCGTGTCCGCTAAAATATGTGTCTCCATTTTCCCTAGACATCACTTGCAACTAGCGAATATAAGATATTCACGACACGTACTAGCCTCTCGTTTTGCCGCAGCAGCAGCCCTCCTCTTTGCTATCTTCTTTCTCTGAATTTCCTTTTTGATATCGGAACGAGTTAGGTCTTTAGATCCAACAAATTAGCAGCTGACGGAGTGAGATTCAATTGTGTGACGCACCAGTTTCCTCTTGCTGTACGATGAAAAGTGCATCTTGCTCTGCTCTCCGCTTGTTACGTTTCATCGTGCCTTTCTGGTACCTAGCAAATACTATCGAGAATGTTATATAGAATAATTCATGCTCGTGGGACGTACAGATATCCTTTTGTTCCGCCACACGCAACGCACAACGTTTTTCCCACTTATCCAGCCCTTTCATCGTACGAATTCCGGACTCGAAAGCCTGCGAACAAGTTCTTCGGAGGTGATTTTCCTGCCAAATTTCTTTGAATTTGGATAGCTGCATTGCATGTATCTAAAAAGAATTAGTTGTTCCGATGATCAAAAGGACGTGTGGTTACTACCTTTTTGTTCCATGGTATTATCTCTAAAACCTCGACAGACCTGGAGCTGTAAGGAAGTCGCGGTTAGACAATGGATAATATAAAGAGTCAGGTGTTGGTATCCAACAAATTTTGTAGAGGTGTCTAGTCTGAGTTACAAACTAGAGATCTGAGTTGGATAGGCCATCAGCGTTTGACTTACACCTGCAAAACTGTTCAAATGTCACAACACGTAACATTACCTGATTAGGAATTGTGAAAACGCTCGAGTATTATGACTCATGTATGCATGTGTCATACAAACATTACACATTATACTATCATTCGACGGGAAATGCACAATTTACACTTATTGCTGAATAGCAACACAACAACAACACATATTCGTATCGGATCTACTGTAGTGTATACTTTAGGTCTCTGTGCATTAGGCCCAACAAGAATTTTTTAATTTTGTTGCGAGCTTGTTGCAGCGGCAGCACTGGAAGTTGAGGTGTCGAAAACACAATAGAAATGCACAATTTCGTCACACTATGTCACGCGCGGCACCTCGGCCAATACACAATGATATTCACAGTCCGACAGCGTGCAAAGCGAATGAAAGTCCAGTGTTCCGCACCGTTCATAACTTCAAGCTTCAATAACGAGCTCCAAATCAAATTTCATTGAGGGAATAATATCTAGTAATAAATTGCATCCTTGATACGTTTTTCACGATCCTCGCGTGTGAGAGGAGGTTGTGAATGTGGTGAAGGGCGGTTGCGAAAAACTCGAGCTGTCCTTGGCATTGGTCGACTGTCCTTGTAATGTAACAATGTCCTCTGGTGTCTTCAAAGGAACAGATGCTGGTATGTGCCGATTCTGCCGAATGCAAAGAAAGCGGAGACTCAACCAAGCCGAGAGTGTGATTTCCCAATCTAGCCTGACCGTCACGCTTTGCTCATGAATCGCGAATAGCATGCTGTGGTGGTGTCCTATTGACATAGAAACACCTGGAGTAGATTCAGGATGGTGCATTTCACATATTTTGAACTTTCTGTGTTGATAGGTTAATGGGATCTGGGTGGATCTTGGATTTAGTGTCCAAAAATCACTCATTTTGGGCACACTCGCACAATGTTTCATCTCGGGAAGGCTTCACAGCACCGATTTTAAAATTTTGAATTGGTAGTATTATTGAATGTATGCTAATAATTGTCCACCAGCTGTTCCGAATGAAATATATGTAGAGTGGTGAGCTCTGGAGTGCATTGTGCATTATCCATCGATTGTG